GTTTCAGTCCTTAGGGTGCCAATCTCCTTGCCATTTTTGGTGGTGCTGACCTTTCCAGAAGACACTCAGAGCCACAGCTCTTGAGTTCCAGCATCAGGGTCCCACTGATTTCTGGGCTTTTTCACCAGGTATCCCATATTAGAAAACATATTAGACTTGAAGCAACTAAGAAAACATGAGTCAACTATTTTTGTTTGTTTTTAGAGAATTCTCTGTTCATCTCAATTTTTAAAAATTTTAGACAGGGTTTTGCTATGTAGTTCAGACTGGACTTAAACTCACTATGTAGCCCAGGCTGCCCTCAAATTTATGGTGACCTTCCTGCCTCAGCCTCCTGAGTGCAACATTATGCCTGGCACCTCAATATCAAATTAAATGCTGACATATTGTTTCCAGAGAATGTTTTACTAATAAATAAAGGATTAAGTGGTTTTTAAAAGAAAGTACTGTGCTATCATTTTGTTTCCTTCTAATAACACTCAACAAACCTGTGTTTTTTTGGCTCCTTGGATTTAAGTTTTAGTCACTTGCCTCTTTTAGTAGATTGTAGGTGCCTAATTGAGTGGCATCATCCTAATCACCTTTTTATACTCTACTGTGTTTAGCACAACACTTTGCACATGGTAGCCATTCAATAAATATTTACTCAGTTGTATTCCATCTCAGCAATGTGTTTTTATTTGGATGCATAACAGTAAGAAAGGTGCAGCAGTGAGAAAAGTTTTTGTAGTTCAGGAAAAGTACTCCACGCTCAACAGTCAAGATTTACAAATACTGGCACTACCAGTCACCATTTTATCACAGGAAGATTTTCCTGAGAAATTAATACAAAACCAGGTCCAAAAATAACAAAAAGGATTCATTTGTTTTGTTCTTGAACATATTCTTTTTGATAGAGGTTAATATTTACTCCATAAATTCTAAGAGAATAATCATGTTACTATAAGTAAATAATTTTAAGATATATCCCTAAATAATTTTGCCAGTGATTTTATTATATTACTAAAACAGCACTATTTTTATGTGAAAACATGACATGTTTGAAATTCTTTACCAACTGGCATCAAATCCCTAGAAAATATAATATTTGAGATAACTTTAGAAAAATACACTAAGAACTCAGAAACCATATAAATTTTTAAAATTTAAATCTCTGTCCTTTGTACCAGCTGCTCACAAGATGAAAGGAAAGCAGACTCTTTTAGCCAAATAATTAACTTGGATGTATCACATGTAGGTTTCCTGATTTCATTTTTTTTTAATTTGTTAAAGAGAAAGCAGCAAAGATAACCACCTTTACTGCAGCAGCTGAGTTAACTACCAGCATTATTACAAACTGACTATTTTATCATTGTTTCCTCCAGGAACATTTATGAAGGGTCTATATTCTGCTCACCAGTGTTCAACCTCTAATGTCAGAAATACACAGTTTCTTCTTTCAACAAGGATTTACCCATTATTAAAAAACACTTGCGCTTTGACTAAAATGTGTGAGATGTAATTCAGTCATAGGTGAAGAGACACACATACAGGGGTCCATGAGTAAAGAGGTAAAGTTAAATTTAAATTGAGGGAAAATGTGGAGCTTTCTGTTATTTAAACAAGGGGAGAAAGGATGGTCTACGGTTAGAAAGAGAGAAAGAAGGGGAAGAACAGGAATGATTGGGAGGTAATTCAGATGGCTGGAGCTCCGGACAATGGTGGCAGGTAGGGTACATCTGAAGGAACTCTGGAGAGCTAGTGGGAAGGATAGAGACCAGGACTTCTTTTATCAAAGGTTTGCTCTTCATGAGCTACAAAAAAAAAAAAAAAAGCACAGACCACAGGGATCCACTGAGTTTTCATCAGGAAATAACATGACCCAATCTATGCTTTTGAAAATATCTCTGGGACAGTATTGTGATGATAAACTGTAAATGTGAGAGTAACTGGTGATCAACGAGAAATGTTTCAACAAAGGAAGCAATGCTGGGGAAGATGAGATGGGGACAATTCCCTCCATTGCTATGAACTGTTTAACCAGAAGCTAGTAAATGCAGACCTTTGCTGTGGATGGAGATTTGAATTATGTATTAATGTAGATGAAAGAGGTCAGTGGAGGATAATTAAAATGATTCCCTGGTTTTTGTCTTGGCAGTAATAAGATGAGGTTTTTAGGAAAGAGGCAGACATAGGGAGAAAATATTGTTAACTTTTGCTTAAGTGACAAATACTGTGTAGGATCACGGAGACATACAGTACTAAAAATCAGCTAGACATTTAGTTCTAGAACTCAGCAGATGAATAGGCCAGATATAAATATTTAGTTGTGATAACAATGGTAGGAGGTGTCAAGAAGCTATAAGTTTGTCCAGTGAGAATATATGTAGTGGGAAAAGAAAATGTCTAGAAGCTTACTGTGTGGCTAACTGAATTGTATCTTGAAAATTTAGTTTATTATCATTTCTCTGAAGTACCCTACAATACAACCCTATAGGAGTCAATAGTCTCAACTCTGTCCCTTCAATTTTGGGTATGGAACATGTATTTTTCCAACAAGACCTTAGGACTAAAGATCTTGAGAATTAAAAAATCTGATTCTCTGAGGTGTAACTGCAGGCTATGGGAACATATTAGAAGCAATAGGTATTGTTTGTTTGAATATACAGAGTGAGAACTTAAACATGATGCTATGTAAAAAAAAGGGAAAAACAAACAACATAGGGACTTTGTTACTATTAAGCAGATGCAAAATAAGTCAGAAACATTCAGTGCAAGAAAGTACAATCAAATAAGAGAACTGTATTACACTATATTCTATAAGCTCAGGCCTAACTATTTGATGCAATCACAGTCAAAGTCTTTCTGACTACTCTGGTAAAAGGCATTATCTTGTGCAAAGTTCCATAAAATAAATAATGAACCAAATGATATTAAAAGGAACTAACACAAATTCTGGGATTCCTAATTGGAGAGTGGTATGTACTTAGAGGAAATATATCATAATCTAGGGTGGCTGAGGTGGGGCATTAGTTTTATTTTTTTTATTGTTCCCCAAGTGATTCCAATATGCAGCTAGCTTTTTTAACCTTTGCATTCAGTACAGAGCCAGAGTGTGAAGAAAGAAGAAAAGTTAGCACTGTACTGTAGAAAGACCTGAGAAGTTATTATATACTTGTGCCTTTCAGAAGGTCATGGAAAGGACTGAAAATGTACTACTAAAGTATTCATATCATTGACCAAACCTTCATTAAAATGTACACATTTTGGCTTTTGATTATCTATCCTAAAGAGAAGACTCAGAAAAAAATCAACACATATAAGGACAAGGAATGAATAATGTAAACTAGACTATAATATGATTATAAAACTGAGACTGTATTAATTTCAGAAGAGAACACCAAGCAATAGCTCAACAGCTACTTTTAAAATAAAATTTTAGGGGCCAGGGATTTAGCTCAGTGGTTCTGGTGCCTGCCTTGCAAGCGCAAGGACCCGAGTTCAATCCCCGGTAGCAAAAAAGAATAAAATAAAATTTTTTTCTGTATCTTACAAGTGTAGGTCATTTTAGTCATTTCAGAAAAACTATTTAGCCATATCTGTCTGTAGATGTTTTACAGGGCTACCAATTATTCATATGTATGTGATATATATATATAAAACATTCAGATTTATAAGAAATATCTCAGATGATAAATTTACCCAGCATATTCTTGATAACTTCTTGTGGCTTTCTAGAGACAAGATTTAATAATTGATCATACCATATCATATGAGAATTGTATATGTGTTCTTGCCCAGACAGTAAACATGCACTGATATTTGCTGTCCTAGACAGTGCAACATTTACTAAACATAAATCCAAAAACCAGAAAGAGCCAGCCTGTGTTTGAAGGACACGTCACTGCTGCAGGAGTTCTGGAAGTTGAGTAAGGACTGGAATGTACTGACAATTACATTAGTAATTTTGTCCAACCTGTACTTGGTTTATTAGAACAGAATAGTCTTATTATTAAACAACCCCATTGTATGTTGTACTTTTTAGCTTTCTTGGTACATTTTCCTCCTTGGTGTATAGTTTACTACATCACGTCTTGTCTACTTTCTGCTATTGTTCACTTCTGATTTTCCCAGGGCTTAAAAACATCTGGACTTAGTATTCCAGAATAGAAATTAAATAAATGAATTAGTGAAAAAAACAAATGGATGAATGAAAGAATAAAGGAGTGCATGAAAAATTTCAGCATCTCTTTGGCAATTTATTGTGTCAACTCCAAAATCAAGTTAGTATATCTGGTATTCACTTGTTCATTCATTCTTTCCTTCATTTATTCAATTTTAACTGAGAACTTTCTATGTATTGGGGATTGAGAATTTTATGTAAAAGGAATAACACCTGTTCTCCAGGGGCTGGAAGAATCAGGGGGAAAGGAGAACATCAGCAGTTCTGTAGATTTAAGTGCACACCATACATGCTGATTAATGTGTTAGATGCATCCATATAATTGATAAATAAACTAATAGTTAATGTTAAATACAAATGTCACTCATAAGCAAAGATTAAGAGCATTTAAAGGCACTTGTGAGAGCGATTTCTAGGATCTCCTATTTGGCAACTGCAGGGTTAAGAAAGTGTTATATGCACTAGTTTAGAAAATGAATGGGATGCTCAACTAACAGAAAAAGATGGGGCTGAAGCAGAAGAAAATCTTGGATAAAAAGTAAGACAGAAAGTAGGCGGGAAGAAGCTGTGGGTTACTTGAGATAAGGTGTTTTTAAGAACACTGTCCACAAACAAGTTGGAGGGGAGAATGAAATAAGAAGGAACTAAAGAAATAGGTACGTTGAAGAACACCGTAATGAAAAGCAATTAAATTTCTTTAATTTCCTGACCCATGTTTTCAGGATAATATAATTAGATGCTTTTAAAGGTTCTTAATCAAAAGAGGACACTGCATTTTTTGACATTTTTCTGGGAGCCCTCTTCTGAAAGAACATATCAGAAAATGTAATATACATACTCATTCTTGTCCACCTTTTCTCGGAGCTTCTTTAGTTGCTTACTTTGGCTGAATTTCAAATTTTGAATTATATTCTCAAAGTATTCATCTTCTTTGTAGTTTAGCTATATTACATAAAAGATTTGGGGGGAAAATATTAAAGCCAGCATCTTCAAAATTTTTGCCAAACAACACATCTTCTTAAATTTTATCAGTTAATAAAATTAAGAGACTATTTAAAACACACCAAAGATGGACTTAGTTCTAATTACCCCCATTCTGTATTATAGGTTAGTACTATTCTTTTTTTTTTTTTGGTACCTGGGATCGAACTCAGGTCCTTGCGCTTGCGAGGTAGGCGGCGGAACCACTGAGCTAAATCCCCAGCTCCAGTTTAGTACTATTCTAGCTGAATTATAACTTCAGTCTATTTTTTCAATCAACCAAATGAAACCAAATGTCAAACCAGCCTCTCATGATACTGTACTGATCCTCACATAACCGATGAGTATAACAGTACATTCCTGTTTAGAACCAAGTGCAGGCCTAGCACTGTTCTCAGCATTTTAAATATGCTTGTGTAATCCTTACTATAATCCTACAAATGAAGGCCTGAAGTCATCATTTTAAAGCTGAAGAAACTGCTTAGTTGCTTGGCTTGCCCAAGTTTATATGAATGGTGGAACTGAAATTTGGCTTTGAGTCTGTGCTCTTAGCCACTGCATCCCTATCATAAGGGCCCCTTGGAACATTCGAGGTCTAGACAGCTCATGTAAAAGAGAAATTAAGTTTTTCTGCTCATGGAAAAAGGATAGAGCACTTCAACTTGGAAACCTCCACATTAGGCATTATAAACAATGGATTACGAACCACTGTCATCCCTGGATTTGGGCAATGATCATCTTGTTATCTTCAGGTTATCAAGTAGTGGTGGTGGCCCCAAAATTAGCAGCAGGATTTTTAGCTGGATCTGAAACCAGCGTTATAGTGACTTTGACCAACTCTTTTCTCTTAATTGTTACATTATTGGGGAGAATAAAAGAGTTTCTGGCTCTCTAATGTCAGATTTACTTTTGTTTTTTAAATATAGGAGGCATGACCTGGTTTATATAATGGGAAGAATAATTGGAAAGTGGAAGAAAACTGGATGCTTGGACTTTCAGACCTGTATAAAGTGGTGATAAAGAGCCTTGGTGCTGCTTGTTGTACATCACCTTGATGTCATCTACTCCCCTGTGCACTTTAAAGGACACCTGGTTTTCCTTACTATTCTTCATATGGAGTATATGGAAACCAAAGTAATAAAACCAGTGTAATGAAACACAGTCCAGTCTAATGAAACAGAAGGCTAAATAACAAATATAACTTTAGCATCTGTGTTAAGGTGTTATGTAATAAGACCTACAGTTTTAGGCTAGTTTACCCAATTAGGAGCATCCTGCAGCTAGAAATGACATTGCCACCAGCCCTAGGTATCATTAGCCAGAGCCTTTGTAGAAACTTACCTCGACATATTCATTATTCAGTTTGTTATCATTTGAAACAATGTCATCAGGATAGCCTATCCTTTCTTTAATTGCTAAGGCCTGTGAAAATTATAATATTGAAGGTGAGGATAGTTATATAAGTTTCAAACACAAACAATATAATCTGCCCAGATGCGCAACTGAATAACACACTCTACACTGTGCACAAAAGGAATATCTGACAACACTCAACCAGAGTTCCTTGCAATGGATTTTTCCTTGGATTAAAAAACAAAACAGGTATACCGTCCTGTTACAAGCTGCAGCTTTCCCAAGAAAACCAAAATGAAAACTGACAAAAGTCATTGTTTCACATATATTGTATTTTTATGAAATTTTTCTCTGAAGGATTTTTCTCTTTAATTTTATAGAGGAGATAATATTTGGAGCTTCCATTCTTGGAAGATATAATTATCTTTCCACTTCACCGATTTGGTGGAGAAAACAGATCAGGGCTTTTACAGGTTTACTTTCACAGGTTTAGTGCTAGAACTCTTTCTGAATATTGGTTCCTGGAGCTTCTGGAGTTTTTATGTTCTCTCTCTCTCTCTCTCTCTCTCTCTCTCTCTCTCTCTCCCCCCCCTCCAAATCAGTGTACATAGCTACAAGGTAAATGAATGACATTTTAAAGAAGCAGAAAACACTTTTCCTTTCTTTTTCTTTTTACCCTGGCTCACACTTATCCCTTTCCATTACCATTTCTAAATTTTATTTTCATTATTTTAAAATTATTTTACTTATTTTTATCCTTTCATTATTATTATTTGTTTACTACTTGCTAGTTCCATTTTTTTCATTTATCTCTTATTTTGGTCACATATGTTTCACTTTTGATTTATTGTATCCTGTTGCTCTTAAATGATCTAATTAATTGAAGATTTTCAAGGAGAATGAAGCATGTATCTCTGAGTTATCTGGTTTGTCATCAAGTGGCTATGGTTTTGTTACAAATATGTTGTATAAGCCCAGGACTTCTCCAAGGATCAGGCAGTAAATGTGTTACTTAGGCCAAGCCTAATTTCCTGTAAGTTTCCACACTATCCACTCCTTACACATTAGCCCTTTCTCAGTGCTGCTTTATTTCCTAGAAGACATTTTTCTTTAGAGGGTTCTCAGGGACACAAATTCTACAGAAAGTAAAAGGTACTACGTAAAAAGGGTTGTTGTCAAATACTCTGGGTAAATACTGCAGGAAAAAAGCACCTTCCCTTATTTCCAGACTTTTTCAAATTTGAAAATAGTTAGACTCTAAGGTTAGTATCTAAATTTTGTCTAAGTGTCCAAGAATAGGAATGAATTTATCAATGTATTCATTCAATATACGTCCAAGTACCCTGCAAGAGTCAGGTACTCTGTCAAGGACTGAGGACACAATGCTAGGCAAAATTTTCTGCCCCCACATATCTTGCTGAAAAGAGCCATGGTGGGCAGTGACATAAATATAAATATATTTTAGGTCTGGTGCCATATGATCGTTCCCTTAGAAGCATATTACATAGCTCAGGGTGGGATCAGACAAGCTTTCTATAAGAAGTGTTTCCTAAACTCTTTTGACTGTGGCACTCTTCTGTGGAACAACTTGCAGGTTCAGTATTTTGTGACACATTTTGGAAATGCAGAGCTAGAAAAATCCAATTGTTCAAGTCAAACACAGCTGTGTTACAGACGGCTAAGACACTAAAGAAGCAATGCAGCCTGAATGTCTGAGGAATTGACAAGTATGATGGAAAGACAGCCAGACCTCTGGGCCTAAATTCTAGTCCTAACCCACGCTCCTTTTGAGAGCTCTTTTGAAAGCTGAAGAAAGGACAGCATTTTCATTTGGTTTAATGCTGAAGGAGAACTAGACCAGAAATTGATTATAATAGGGCTTATTATGGACTCCAGTATTAGTCCAAAGAATGGCTTGTTCTTTCTTTTACCCTAACTACAGGAGAATGGTCAGAATGGATGTTGTGCTCAAAAGCAGGTTCACAGCTTTCACAGAACATGTTTCCCAAAGATTTTACATAATTTAAAAGATGAATAGGCATAGTAACTGTAAACCTAATATTTCCTTAGAAATCTTAGTTTTATTCATATACAAGATAATAAGTTTCAATAAAAGCTGCTCATTAAATGTAGATAGAAATAACTATAGAAAGTATCCCTTTAACCACAGATCTTATAACACACAAATGATGCACCACCTTATATTTGCTTGAACAGAAATTTAATACTTTTTTCTCCTTTGGTCATCCAACATCCAAAAACTAAATAGGGCATTTTTCTTTTGCTTAAATTCTTTTATTGGTACATTTTAGGTATACAGTACATTTACATTTATCATTGGGTGTTTGTACCTGTACATGATGTATCCTGGTGCTTATTTTTTCCCCATTACCTGTGCACCCTTCACCCTCTCCACCCTTCCCTATTTACAAAGACTTTGCTTCCATTCTTTCCTTTTCTCATAATTTTTCCTTTCCCTTCTTTCCTTTCCCCTTCCCCTCCCACTTCCCTTACCCTTTTGGACCTTTTCTTCCTATTTCAAATTACCAATTATTCATTTTAATCCTTATAAAGTTTAAGTGGACTTTTACATTACAAATTAAAGGGACATAATTTTGAGCCACTGGTAGTGATCTTTTAGGTTACTTTTTGTAGAAGAATAAACTGTATGAACCACTGATATATTAGTTCTTTATTAATTCATATAGGATTTCTCTAATTTTATAAAGTTGTCCTTTAAAAAAAGGAAAAGGGTAATACTTTAAAAGCTTTAAATTAAATATAAATGGTGCTTACTGCAGCGAAAAAAGATGAACATCAATAGAAAATTTCTTTATCCATGAAATTGTTCCTGGAAACATTATGGCTTGAAGGAGCTAGAAGTTTTTATACACAAGCTAGGATTACATTTTTCCTAAATGTTTTTAAAGTTAAATTTTTTCTAAAAATTGTACTTTAATACACCTGCATGGTCCTTACCTTTTCTTCAGCTTTCTTTTTTGTTTCAGCATCCATCCAGGTGAGTTCATCTAAAGTCTGAATAAAAACTTCCCGGATCTGCGCAATCAAATCCTCAACCTCAAATCCAAAGTATAGAAGCCAAATTAGGCTATCCATTAAGTCCTTGTAACAAAGATGTTAGAAAGCAGAGCTACATGCTACATTTATATGATGTAATATGTTAACAAATATTCAATTAGAGACAAACTGAGATGCAGACCAATGAACGCATGGGGTCATTATATTTTAAAACAATATTGCTACTATCAATGTTTCTAATTAAATAGTTCTTAAATATATACATTTGAAAAATTTATCTTCAGAACATAATGGTCCCCACTGTCATTATTAGAACTAACATAGTATTAAACTGTCATTACCATTAGTGGTTTAGTTAAGCATGAAGTAGCATTTCAATAAATTCTTCACCATGTCATTAAGTTCTACTGTCTTTGTTTCAGTAACAATGAAAAATGGAGTACATTTCTTACACTTCAAACCCTGATTGACTTTTTAGGTATTTAAGACAACATTAATTTTTGACCAATTTGAATAACAGAAGAGTTTATATATAAATGACTATTGAGTAGAACATGTGACTGGGTACTCTACACTGCGTCTGGAGAATGCATAGTTGGTTTTAAATTAAACAACATGAGAAACCAAAACTGTAATTAAACTCTCGATGGGTAGAGCAACCGTGAGATTTGTTAGTAAACAATTACATATTATTATTTGGAGGTCCTCTACCTAATTAATTAAAACTTCAGCCAAATTATGGACAACTATAATTGCCCATCAATGAAAACAAATTAAGAGTGCATTGCAGAGTTAATAATGTATTGTGTTGAAAACTTTACCACATGTTTACTCTCTCCAGCAAATGCTGCTTCCACATAAAGCCTTCCCACAGCATTTTCCATATTCCCATTGACATAGTTTGCACAACGTCTCCAAGTTGCTGTTTCTGATGTTGTGCCATAAAGGGCCTATAAGAGAAAAAAGAAAATGGCCAGGAGTAGAGGGCAGGAGTACAAATTTCACATGACTCTATTCTTTATGTCTCATTTAAATCCTTGCACTACTCATCACTTCTTCTCACAAAGCAGGTGTCCCTAGCTTATGATAAAAATGCAACCTGATACTTAAAAATGATCTGAAAATAAGATATATTTTCAGAGGCATTTCCCAGTAGAGCTTTTGGCTATTACAAGTTAATATCTTTCTAGAAAGCTTTAGAAAAAAAATACAACATTGTACCCACTGCATAAACATAAATGTGAAGTAATATTCAATAAATGTAACAGGGGGATATCTTACACACAAGAAAACACATTTCTGCTTTTTAATGTTTTAACTGAATTTCAAATACTTTACAAAAACTAAATTGCATAAATTTAAGTATAAACAAGGGAATTAACCTAGGTAAGGGAAATTTAGCATGGTAACATTTTTATATTTTTTAACTTTAAAAATATGTCTACATATTCTTTTTAAGGTTTAAAAATGGGAATTGTTCACCACTCACAGTTATTTTCTTTCCAGGACACCAATCAGTAAGTTTGTTAGAATTTCTCCTTCCTCAATCCCTACTGCCCACTCCCCTTATAATGAGATTAAAATGCTGACTGCTTAAATAACATAAGAACTGCCTAAGTAAAGGCTTTAAGTTTATATCTCCAGGTGAGTGTTCTCTCAATGGATTGTCCACATCAGTGTAGTCCATCTGTGTGTAGGTACAGTGTGCTATGAGCATCTGAAAATCAAGTTAATTGAGAAAGACACCCCTGCAATGGCTTCAAACACAGCAATAACAAAAACAACAACAATAAATCAATGCAGCATTTTTTCATGAAATGGTCATTTAACCAATGGTTACTCTTTACTGGCTTTGTGATCATGATGTCACAGGTAATCACCATTGGATGGCAAAGCCATGATGACTGACCTCCTTCCTAGGTAACATATACCCTAAATATGTGCAAAATAACCAAATTTGGCATTGTATCTTTTGCAAAGTTCACCACATTCTAGCAGAATACATGGCAAGCCTTCATAACCATGTATCTCTTTATGCTTTAATTCTTAAAAAAAGAGAGATTTTTTCTTCACCTTGCGGAAAGCATTTCTGGACTCCTTGTAGGTTCGGCTGAGGCTGCTTACAAGATCCATTATGAACCTCCAGGACATTAAATTTTGAAGATCTCTGTATAAAAAAACCCACCACCCAGCAACAGAAAAGATGAGGCTGCAAAGCTTCTAAAGAGCGATATGAAATGTAAACTTTGATGACATGGGCACTCTGACATACCTACCTGGCAGAATATTTGGTAAGAATGGGTTTAAGTTTGATTAAATATTCTGGAGCATACACAACCACCTCTTCCTCATTTGGAATATTAATATTCACAGTTGACATGATTTCATTTGTGAAATTTGACCAACTGAATGGCTGGAAAAGAGCAGGGATAAAACATTAAGCAGTTATGGATTTATTTTCTTGATTCTATGATTTCATTATGGTGAGAAAGTCATACATTGAAGGGTGTCAGCTACATCACTAAATAATTATACCAATGGTCAATTTTTTACTTGTTTGGGATTGTTTCAAGTTTTTCAATCAGTTTTTGAAGAAAAATTAGTTCTTCAATATGTTATTTAGGCAGCAGAATTATATCAACCATCCAAGAGCAAAAACACTTGAAGCTTTGAGACATACAAATTAGAAATTAGGCTCAATACATTCTTATTCTAAATATTTCAAAAAGAAGAAAAATATACTTAGCTTTAAAAATAAAGTTTCCTTTGTTTATGCAAAAATGTAAATGTGTATCAAGTGTTTGACTTTTATAAGTAGATGTTAATAAACAACTCAAATACAGCAATACCCTGCAATGGGGCTCCTGCCACAAATGCAAGCATAGTATTATAGAAGATGCAGTGTTATGAAGCAAATGAAAGAACACTCTTTAAATAATTACTGTTGTCCTATAAACATCCAGTTTTTATACTTCAGAAGCTAAGTTTACAGTTGAGAACAGACAGAATCTAGTCTACTACTCCTTAAATGAGAATTATGAGCATTTAAAATGATCAATATCTTAGACTCATCTGTCTAGGTACACACACAGAGATTTTTTACTAAGTAGGAGATGCAATGCTATACCCTTGACTTCTTTTGATGGTCTAGACCAGTCTTTCAAAACATATTTATTAAACACACAGTATATTAGAAAGTTCAAAGTAAGAAATGTCTAATTCAATGAGCTACAACTTTTTAAAAAGTTCATATTTCCCAGAATTAGTGCCAAGAAAAATTCTATCACTGACTTTGATAGTTCGTACATTTTCTATGAATATTGCCTCTTCTTCCAACTCTGTGCATTAACTAAAATACAAGAATAAATTCAGAGACCCCAAAAGAGATTAGTAGAGACTAGCTAAGCAAAAAGAAGTCAATTTCAGTCTTTAAATAGAATCTATGAAACAGTTTCTTCTTATTTTTGTATTCTACTTTTTATTATTGTTCTGAACACTGTAGACATCCTTGATGAGAATATGGAAAGTTCTATGAATAAATTATCCTGTTTCAGGAGTTAAAAAGAAATTTAGTATTTTATTATTTGACAGCCCAATTCAAATGACTCTATAATGAGTTCAGAAAAATTTTCACTTTTTACAAACCCTTTTCCACAACAAGTTCTGATATTATTTTACACCTGCCTTGAAAACAATTTTACCAATCATTCTAAATAAATACACGTTTTTAAATAGCTCCCCCCTGCCCACCACACACACAAATGTCTGATGCCATTTAAATTCATTTTGGAATTCAATTTATTTCAGTAAATGAATAACGACTTTTAAAAACAGTATTTTTTTTTTCTTGGTACCAGGGATCGAACTCGGGACCTTGCGCTTGTGAGGCAGGCAGCAGAACCACTAAACTAAATCCCCGCCCCTAAAAACAGTATTTCAATGTCATAGTTTTAGGAAATGGCAGAGTAAGAAGCGACATGAAACTTTCTCTTTTTTTGGTTCTGGGGGTTGAACTCGGGTCTCTGGGCTTGCAAGGCAGGCGGCAGCACCACTGAACTAAATCCCTGGCCCTCTTTTTCTTGTTCCCCATTAAGCTTATTGGTACATTTTTAGGTATACAATACAGTTACATTCATCACTGGGATCTCATACCTTTACATGATATATCTTGGTTCTTATTTTTTCCCCATTCCCCAGTCTTCCCTTCAGCCCCTCCACCTTCTCTATTTACAAAGACTTTTTTTTTCCATTTTTTTCTTTTCTCATACTTACCTTTCCATTGATCTCCAGTGAAAAATTATTTTGGAGCTGAGCCAAAGTCATTTTGTTGTAAAGAAGCATTGGGTCATTTCGATCTTCAGATTTAGTTGTAGCCTATGGATATAATTTTTGATCATTAATTTAAAACTAAGAAAAATATAAGTTTATGTGAGTTAAAAAGAAATATAGGATATGTATAATATGATTTGACTTAGGTTCTATTCTGTATTTGTTTTGTAATTTATTTTAGCATATCAAAAGAAGTGAAGTTTAAGAGATTTAATGTATGCAGTATGATAAAAAATATGGTAAAGGTTTAAATTAAAAATTTATTACAGTAAAAGACACATTGCCCATAATTCCCTTCAAATAACTCCCCCTGGATTTGAACACACTTATCTCATCATTTTGGCTACTTTCTGAAGCAGTCTTGGAATTCCTCTTTTGTGTCTTTAGCTGCATTGTCATGGTGGCCTTGATGTCCTGAATCTATTTAGAAAGTTTATCTTTCATGGTTATTTTGAGATTGAGGAAGAGTGAGGAGTTCTATTGTGCCAGAACTGGTGAATAAGATGGATGAGGACATATTGTAATGTTTTAAGAGCTTGTCTTTCAGTTGGATGGTATTGGCAGCAGCATTCACTACATTTTTGCTCATAGCTTGTAATGTCATTCAAAAAGGACCTGCACAACCTCTTCAGAAAGTGACAAGAACAATGGCATAATGTGTTTGAAGTCCTTGGGGCAATGTATCTTTTACTATAATCATTTAAAAAAATTTTTTTTAATTCACTATATATCTTGATCGTCCTATGTATATTCAGTAACAGTCATGGAGATTTGGCTTCATGTAAAATTTAAAATTCTTCAAAAGTCTTTTCAGGTTGGGCGTGATGGCACATGTCTCTAAACCCAGCACTCTAGGAGCCCAAGGCAGGAGGACTGAGAGTTTGAGCCAAGCCTGTGCAACTTAGAAACTTTACGAGACCCTGTCTCAAAATAAAAACTAAAAAGGTCTGGTGATGTAGCTCAGTGCAAAAGCCCTAGGTTCAACTCCCAGTACCACACACACATACACACACACACACACACACACACACACACATTCTTTTCATATTTTGATATCTGCCAAGCCACATAAGCAATATTGTGGGCTGTGGCTGATGGGCAGCTCAGTAGTTTCTCTAGCTATTTCATATTATAACCTTTTTGGACATAGTCACTTCTATCTCATCTCTCAAATATTTTCTGTCTCCCACACCCACCTTATCATTCAGTGTCCTAGTTAAAATTCAGCTGTAATAGTTTGCACAATAATATATGGCAAATAACACAGAAAATTCCTAGTATATAGAACAATCAAGTTGCAGGTTAACTGAGAAGAATGGTAATGCTTTCTACTTTCATGACTGTCCTTCCATTCTTCTTAACTAGTTTCATGTTTTGTACTCAACAAAATCCAATTTTATGCTTTACACTGAATCTAAAAAAGAAAACAAAAAGAAAATAGAAAATTTCTATCTAGTGATAGAAATGAGTAAAAACAAATTTAAATGAGAAGGGACAAAAGGTTAAGGTTTAAAAATAGGTATTATTACTTGATGCCAATATTTAATATCCCCTTTAGGTAATGTATCTGTTTACTTACTGAAAACAAAACAATTACTAGAGAACATTTCCTGCATATAATAAAATGGTGGACTCTGTTAGAGATACACAGATGATTCAGAGATGACTAAAACCTCATGCCAATCTCAGAGTCTAAGCTAGGGGAAAAACTATAATCAAATATTTTTGAGGTAAAATGAAACTACCACTATAGAGCCAATGCTGGTCAAAGGGGGACACAACCTGGGAAAATAGGAGTGGTGAGATCCAAGCAGGGAACTGTTCTTTAGCAGTTCTGTTCCTAACACAGAGCCACATGTAGACCATCAAACTGCTATTCATGCAGATGCAGCTCCAAGCAGGCTGGCTATGATTAAGGAGTTTTGGTTCCCTGTGGCCCCAGGAAAACTAGAATTGCCCTCCAAGATCTTCACTCTTCAAGTCTCTGATGAGGCTAGATAGTATTAGTGAGCAGACGTGCATCTAGGGGTGGCTGTTATTGTTTGGAATTTCAGAAAACTCTGTGGGTTGTAGATTGAATCTGGGCATGAGTTCTATTGGTGTAACCTGGATTTCACCTAGAATTTGCTTGCTTGGGAGTACAGGTTCCTATCAAAGAACCATGAGAGAAGAAAGTGCCACACAGATTCCAAAGGTTTGTGTGGAACCAGCAGGGATGCAGAAGCATACCCTGGGCTTTCTTGTTAAGTTCTTCCCATCTGATTTTCCCTGAGCTCGGCAGTTGGCAGTCTGAATTCAGTGCTATCACACTGCCCTTGGGATCATGTTCAGGGGGGTAATACTTTTTAGCACAGGGATAGAGATAATCTTTGTAATCACTTTAAATTTTACAAATAAACTTGTTCAGAAAAACTGAAACAGCTTTGTGTCATGAGTCTCAAGGTTATCCAACAGCAATGTGACAGTAAATGGTAAAAGTTTGATGTAATCCACTTATAATAGGCAATTAAGTATATCATTTAATATTTGTCAAATTTAGTGTGTCCCTTGGATGGTGGAATCTAATTTACTATAAAATTCTATAATTTCAAAGATTCTCTTGAAGTCAATGATCCATTACCATGCTATGCATTTTTTATCTCTTGGTTAGAGTTACACTTTTACCCTTAAAATATAATAGAAGTGCAAAGAAAAAAAAGCAGTTGACATTATTCAGTGTATCAGAAAAAAACGTGTTTTACATTGGCAATTTCTTTTTCCAATTCCATAACTTTCTTCATTTCCAAAGAGAGTTGGTTTTCATCAATAGGCAATCCTTCTTCTTGACGAATCAATTTGGCCACAGAAATCATAAAATCCACATATGCATTACAAGCCTGTAAGAAATAAATAATAAATTGTTGGATAACCTTCTAAATATTCATGATGGCACTTTAAGTTAAAATATTTTTTCAATTCAGTATTAATTTTTGGTAGCAAAGAAAGCACAGTCAAATAGAAATATTTTCCTAAGTACTAAAAGAAATGACCTGCACAGATTCTCAGAAAGTCAATGTATATTTTAATTAGAGCTTAAAGCAGAGCAGGAAAGTACTTTGAAAGTACTAAGTAATTTACAACCATTTGGTTGCAGAGATTATGTAATTTTCAATTTGCAATCAAGTTGTTTTCCTTTATTAGAATGCAGTTGCAAAACACTTGATAAGTAATTATAATTTTTTTCCTTAAGCAATAATATATTCCTTTACTGAATCTGTTTTTCTAGGTTCTCTATGCTCATATATAATTATTTTTTCAACTAGTTATGAAGAGATAGCCACAGATTCATATAATATGATTAGGATATCTTCATATCTGTCTCTTCAGGTTAAGCAGTAATTTTTTTTATGAGATTGCTCTTGGGAGATGTTCCAGCACATGCCTGTGGGTTTTAGTTAATTCCTCGATGATCTCATTACTGTTGAATTGTACTACATGATAGGTTTAGTTTTCAGATTTCTTCGAGAACTCAATTTCTTTATATTTTAACTTCATAAACATTTTAGCATATAAAAATAAACTATAAACTAGTTGTATTACCAACCTTTTATGAATATAAAAATGTCTTAAGTTCAGTGACACTAAACGAGCAAATCACATCTCACTTTTGTTAAGTCTCAACCACTGCTACTTATTAGCTATTATTATCCATCACTAATTAAAATAATCTCATCTCGTTTAAATTTACGCAAAATTGAAGGTTCTGGCACCAACTTTACCACTGGTAAAGCAAGAAATTATGATCAAGAAAAATAGGCCACATAACTTGGAAATATGTGGTTTCAAGATTGGTACCAGGGTATCTGATAACCCTAAGCATAGGGGCAGCTTTATATTTAACATTGAGTGCAAAGACACATCTGAATTTACTGAGGCTTGTTATCAAACCTAAACTGATAAGGAAATGAAATATGTTATCAAGCAAGAACCTAAGCAAAATGTCTCAATTGCCAATTTGAAAGTCTAGAGGTTTACATACTGCCACTCTGTGGCCTTTATTAAATGCTATCAGACAGTTCCCTGAAGAGAAAAGCTCTCTCTTTTCATGAACACCTGTAAAGCTAGGACTTGGTATATGTCTATTCATGGATCTGCTACTGAATAGGATAAACTTTTTCAGCTCTGAATCTGTATTAAAAACGTAATCACTAAAGTAATAGTAATAAGATAATTTCATGTATATTCTCACCAATTACATTTTTAGTATTAAAAGGTAATCAGAATTCTTGTTTTACTTTGAAGTAAACAAGTACATCTGAGTTCATACCTCCTGAGATGAACTATTCCAAAGTATTAACATGCAGCATTTTGAATTAACTGTATTTCAAGGCATATAAATCTACCCGGCTTCAGCAGGGATTTACTACTGACTATGAAGGAGATGGTAATTTGAATTTTCCAATATCAATCTACTGAGGTTTTTCTTTACTCTATGAGACACTTTATTGTTAATGAGGCAAGAAAATAATAACAAGAATCCTTCTGTGGTACTTTGTTGACTCTGCAAACTGGTTCTATTTCAACATTTTTGTCCTTATAGTTGCATTTAAAACTACAGAACTTTGGTGTAAGGCAAGCCCAAGAACTTTGGATGATGCTTCTAGCCTGATCTTGCAACACTGGTAATATTTCTTGGGGAACTGGTAGCATGTGATAGCATTAGCTTCTGATGTGCTGAATATTCAATATAGTTGCAAGGAATACACTATTTCCTTTAATGTGCTCCAGCCTGGTAACTACCCTATTGTGACTGCAGCTTCCAAATGTATCAGATAGTTGTCAAAATCCAAGTTTACTGTTGCAGGTAAATCCATTTTACTAGACATGATTCTACCTTAAGGTTTTAATTTTCTCTCTTTAGACACTTTCAGATATGTAAAATGCTAAATGAATCTAATTGTCATTATTTGGAGCAAAAGGAAGTAACTTATATTTTGACATTTAAATAGTACATTGTCCAGGATACTTTTAAAACTGATCTTTAATTTTTGTTTTTTGTGACTGAGAGAGCACTCACTTGTTAGCACAGTGCCAGGTTCAGTTGTTGTTTTGACAATCATAAGTCAGCTTCTTTTATGATAGAGTAAATCAGTGATCCTTTGTGTGTGAAAGAACCAATTCCCCCCAAGCATCTATGTACAGAACATCCTTTCTTTAAAATGTAAGTTCTACCACTTATAAAGCAGTTTCAAAGGGATGATTTTAGACATTTGAGTACAATCCATAAAGTAGCAATTTCATGAGGTGTTAAATCACATACTATTAATAAGATAATATTTATGATTTCCAGCAGCATGGGCTATTACTTTCACTAGAACTACCTTCACTTTGCAGGACCAGGCACTGATAGTCATAACTTGGGTCTTTAGAATTTGGAATCCTCCTACCTAGATAAAAGCTGATGTTTGTTAGAACTATCAAAGAAGAGAGCAATGACATTTGACTATTATTTTTCAAACTTCAGTGTCATCAGTAATGAATGACAGCAAGACCCAGAGAAAAGATGAAGGCTTTCCAGTCAGACTGATGATATCTGAGTACCTTAGTGGGCCAGCTACCTATGGATCAGGGATTTCATTTCCAGACACCCAGCTTTTACCATTTTTCTGTCTTCTTCTTCCTCGAAAGAAACCCTACATAATGTACAGCAGGAAAGTAACTGAGAAGTCACAGAACTATGTTATTTTCAGCCCCTGACCTTGGAGGATATGTAAAGTGTTACACAGGAAGTTTTCTGGGGGAACATACAGGGACACCAAGCAGGAAAAATACTTCCTATCAAAAAGGCTTGAGAACTTTTCCTAGTTTAAGCAGCATGTCAAATAACATGCAGCTGCCAGCAGAAAAAGACTTGTTCCCCACAGAAGGGCCACAAAAATATAGTCACACAATATTCCTGGGGACTATAAATGAGAAACAGCCTGAACCCAAGCACAACTATAGGGCAGGAAGAATACAAGACTCAAAAGAATTTACCTTGGACTAGCATGAAGACTGAGCCCTTTAAAATAGATAGACCCTGGAGACTCGTACAAGAACTTCTAAGGTTTATTGCATACATTTATTGCATAAACTCTTTTCTAGGTAAATCACTAAAACATCTTTGTGTTTTATGAACCCACAGATTTTAGAAGCTTCATTTAGATCTTTTCACAAACTGGGTTTGATCAATCTCCCCAAATTTTCTTGTCATGTTCCCTAGGTCCCAAGTTAAAATGGCCCTGTATGTTTTGTTAAATACAGATACCTGGGCTGGGTAAAAGTTTCTGAGTTATTGACCACCTGGTATTCAGAAAGGAGAAAATGAGGCCACTAGTTTCTCTTGTGGGGTATGACTTACCACGTCACAGCTGTTTTGTTTGTTTTTTTGTGTTTTTTTTTTTTTGTACTGGGGATCGAACTTGGGACCTTGCACTTGCAAGGCAGGCAGTGGAACCACTGAGCTAAATCCTTGGCCCAAGTCATAGCTGTTTCAAACAGTGAAGTTTAGTCTACTCATTCATCACCCTAAGACATGCTGGCTCGGTAGTTTAAAGTACACAATTTCTCTATAATGAGAGAGACACCTATAAAAGCTATCTTAGGCCTTTTCACATTTCTGTATCTCATTTGCTGCCATCTGAGTCCACCATAATTTTTCACCTAAATTACCACATGGCCTCCTCTGATTACAGTGCATCCTACAAAGAGCAGCCAGATACCCACCCACTCCTACTCCTGTCATTAGTTACCATACAAGCATTTTATTTCATTTCTAACACAACACAATCTCAATTTAGCCTACTTCCTTATTTACTTGCTTCTTTCTTGTCTATCTCCTCCCCTTAGAACATGAGTGCCATGAGAGCAAGGATCTTGTTTCCTTGGAATACTTAATGCCTAGAAAACTGTCACATGGTGGAATCTCAATGAATAGCAAATAATACTCTTAAATTTCAAGTATATTAAGTGTTTTTCACTCACTTCCCTTTTCATCTGTGCTTCTCAACTCCAGGCCTGAGCTATTTCTTTCAGCTTGTATTTTGGGTGAACAGAAAAAACAAAATCCTGTCTAAGGTTTGATCTCAGTTCCAGTTTGCAGTTACTCATCTAAAGGACTGCCAGTCTCAGCTTACACTCTTCTCTAGGTATATCACTAAAGCATCTTCCTGTTTTAAGAACCCACAGATTTTGAAAGAGCTCTAAATTAATCCATAACTCCGGCTTTCTCCTCCTGTGTCACAGACTGCAATATTATATCTCATAGGTTTTTTTTTATATCTCATAGATTCTAATCTCCAACTCCTATGTTGCCCCCATCTTCTAACCCCATAGTTTTCTCACTTTTGTTTTAGCCATGAAATGCTCTATTCAAGTATATATTTTGTCAGTGTACAAATAAACAAGTAAAAAAAGTGAAGCTCTTCTTGAAGTGTGTATATATGTGTGGTGACTGCAGGAAGGCCGGTCATTGGCACATACAAAGTGGTCCAAGTTTCAAAACTGCCCTCTCCTATTCTGCCTTTACAGACAGACATCAGCACAGAGAATAAACATATCTGTACTCTATCTATATCTATAATCATGCTCATATATTTTGGATTTCTAACCTATAGATTTCCTTCCACAGGAAGACAGAGTAACAATTAGCCTTGAGGAGCTTAGAAGGCAAAGAAAGCAATCTTTGAGATCAGTTCCAATTGATTGCCAATACAGAGTTCAAAAGCTCTTCTGAAGATGAATGATATTTTTTAAAAATTAGGGTCATTGTTCCTCTCATAAGAACTTTCTTATGTGTGATGGTTGATTGGCTGCATTTTAAAATTCCAAGAATGACAATGATTATCTTTTAGGGGCAATGTATATCTTTCATAGTGTTTTCCTAGCATAGATATGTATACTTTTGTTTTGAATCTCAATACTTTTGTCTTTTGGAAAGTAGTGTGTCATTAAATTATCTTTCAGATAATCAGAATACCATAGAGCTCTGTCTTTAATGAGAGATTCAGTATAAGAGATTTCTTAATGAACTCATTTTACCGTCATCAAGAGCAGACATGGTGAATATGTGTCCCTTTGTGGGGTGAAGAGCCTATTCTGTATCACCTGTCCTTTCTGTGTTGACTATGGTAGTCACCAATAGATACTATAATTTGTTTGGATTCAATATGTATCCTTATTTCTAAACAGAGAATGCAGTGCATAATCACAATGATTTTGTGGTTGGATATACCTCTTCTTATCATCAAAGTACTCCTATAGGGCTGTTCAGAGATCACTAAATACCAACAAAAACATGCTCTTCTAGACTTTTGGAGGTTGAGACTACTGGGAATGATGGTATATTCATTAGAATGCTAGGCAGTATAGGGTCCAATGAATTCAAGCTGGACAAGAGGGTAAAAGATTATTCACAAAGATATAAACATGGATCAAGACTTATACTATTCTTTTATTGAATAGTTACTGTCTTGTGTTGCACTTTAGCCCTAGGCAAGTATCCGAGCATTCTCTTCACAAAGGGACCAAAGGAGCAATGAGTGAATTAGTGTTTTTTTCTTGTAATTGTTCTGTGCATTCTGTAACTTCCCTCCAAGTCCAGAGGAAAAGTGGCTAATATTACATATCTGCCTCATCAAAAAACAAATTTGCACATCTGTACTATTAGAAGATCTACCTGCAACTTTAGGGTACTCAGGAAAAATAAGGTGAAGTATGTTAGTTTTGGTAACTTTCATTGCTGAATTCTACTGAACATGTAAAGAAGAACTATTATTAGTCTTTCTCAAATTCTCCCAAAAAATTGAAGAAGAGGGGATATTTCCAAACTCATTTTATGAGACCAGTTCTGACACCAAAGGCAGATGACACTACAAGAAAAGAAAACTGTAGGCTAATATCCCTGATGAATACAAATGCAAAATTCTCAATAAAATACTAGCAAAGCAAATTTAACAGCACATTAAAAAGCTCACTCATCATAATCAAGTGGGATTTATCCCAGGGCTCCAAGCATGATTCAGTAAAACATAAATCAATAAAAGAGGCACACCATATTATAAAATGAAGGACAAAAACCCATCGATCATCTCAATAGATGTAGAACAATCATTTCACAAAATTAAACATTGATTGCTAGCTATACCTTGATATAAGAAACATAAAACTGTGAAAGATATTGAGTAAAAGTTGGAAAAAAATTCACATTTAAGAACACAATCCTAAATATGAAAGCATCCCCATTTATGATAAAGATAATACAGTATAATAAGTATAATAAGCCAAAATTTCTCAATCACTTTCAAATCTGAAACAGAAAACAGCTGGACATCTTTTAAAGCCAATAACTCCCACACAGTAACGAGATAACTGAAACATCCCACGCATGTTTGATTATCTGTGATAAATTTGAAAATATATGGCATAATTTTCTTCATTTCAGTGTTGTGTGGCCATTCAGAAAGACAGCTTATTATTCCATGTTATCTGAACTTAATAATTAGGCAAAGTAAATGCTAGCAAAACACATTTAGCTAATAGCGTTAAGAAGTAATTTCAGTCATACCACCACACTGTGACCCATTAAGATTATCAAAGGTAAACTTAACTTATTTCTGAACTATAAAATAATCATGAGAAAAGCATCTGTGGAGCCAACACCTTACCTCAGTATCTAATAATATACAACATTCTAGTTTTGTCACCAGTAATCAAGAGCACATCATTAACAGCCTGAGGGTGGGACAATTGTGAACACTATAAGATACAGTCCTGTGGGGCATGACACCCATGGTGTCACTGACCAATAGAGAATCAGAAGGTGAATGGCCCTGTCTGCATAGTCCTCAGATAGTGAAATCAGAAAGTTCTGGAAGGTTTTTTTTTTTTTGCTGGGCCTGTCAATCCCTGATCCTCACTGCTACCACTCTATATTATGATAAATCAAATTATTTTAAATGATCCAATTTGCAGGTGAATTAAAACACTTAAAGTTGACTTTTCAAAATGGGTCACGTGATTTAAACACTAAGAAGCAAGACACAAAGAATTTCAAGTTTCCTTCTTTATCTACTAGTCTATGAAGAATGTTCATTATTTAGTAGATTTTTTTTTTTTTTTTTGGTACCAGAGATCAAACTTGGGACCTTGCGCTTGTGTAGCAGGCACTGGAACCACTGAGCTAAATCCCCGGCCCAAGAATGTTCATTATTAAGAGTAGCTTACTATTATGTGTGATTTTAATTGTCCTGAGAAATGAACATGAGAAAGTTTTAAAAATTTGTCTCTAGTCTTTTTGATTATTTATAGAACACCATATAGTTCTATAGTTTGTTTTTTGGTTATTTCTCTTTTCTTCTTTCTTTCATTTACCTCTGCATATATTCCAGTGCATTCATAGTAGTCTCTGGAAGGGAGGCCAAGTCGAGGTTGGTCAAACTGTGAAAAATAAACATCAAAGAAATAAACCATTCAGCACACATAAAACAGTTGGACAAAATACAAGCATTCCTGTCTGTGAATGCACAAAGGCCCGGTCTTCTTGATATTTATAGGGGTAACAATCAGACACTAAGTACATAATTCAAAAATGATTTTTCTACACTACTTACAAGTGTCAAACTCATAAGCATTTAAATAATCTGGGGGGCTTGTGCTGTGCACACTGAGGGAAATTGGAGAGATTTAACAAAATATACATTAAGAAGACTTTTAAATGCAGAGCAGAAGGTTCAGGTGAATAAAGGTACATTAGAATTTAGTATTAGGGAGTTTAGTATTAGTATTAGTATTAGGGAGTTTCTAAACTGCACATTTGCAGGACTTGCCAGCTTCACGACATTCTAATATGTCCTCCTGGGGAATATTTTGATTTACTGTCATTAGTCGGGACTCATTATTACTGGTTGGAGTAGGTCATATCCTTCAAGTTGGAACAGATCATATCCTTCAAGTTTATTTAGATAGGTCCTGGGGACAGTATAGAAAACTTCTATGGTAACTCTAGGACTTTTAGTTAGTTTAAATATTACTACTAGAAAGTTTACTGAGATCCTCTACCACAAATGAATGGGGAATATGCCTCTTCAGCTCTCTTCAGAATCACTGCCTGGAAGGACTTAAGCAAGTTCAGACAGCAGCTGGAAGAGGAGACTCACCGCTTCTCTAGTGTGTCTGCTCCATCGAAAATACCTACGGGAGAGCAGGCTGAGCACACTCAATCTTTGTGAGACTGCTTCCTATGCATGGCACGGCAAATTGGGTGCAAGGGCAAGCCAAAGCTTTTATGAGTTAAAGCGAGGATCCCAGCAACTCCTCTGGGGAGCTCAGACCAATATACAGGAAACAACCCAAAGGACATTGCGGAAAGAGCCAAATGGCATCTCCACATCAAGTGCTCGTCCCCTTCCACAACTTCCGGACCCTCAAGGCAATCATGCAGCAGGATTCTGGCATCTGAGAACCCAAGGAAATTGTTTGGAACACAGAAAAGGATTCCATTGCAGGAGAGTTGTGTGTACGGTTCCTTTTATTTCATAAAGATGCATTCAATAGTGACATAAATATGATTCTGTGACCTGCAATTTTTAGTGCACTTTCTTGCACAGAAGACTACATAGAAAAACTATAGAATATTTAGTTGATTCCAAAAACATTCTTTAATCATCTTAGATGATCCCAAAATAATGGTTTAAATCTAAATAAAGCTATTTAAAAGAATGGCATTTTATTTACCTTAATTGAGAATGTACAAATATTCTTTAGTGAGAACAAAAATTGTGTTCAAAATCCCCTTTTTAATTCTTTTCAAAGCAATAAGAGATTTTTAGCTTATGGACCTACATAATTATGTAAACCAAAGCATGATTTCCTTCGTGAAACATACAAAGAAACCAGGGACTTTTTCTCAATAGCAAGGGCTGGGAGCCTCTCATCATTTATTTATCTCAGGAAGAGATACCTAAAATGGAGATAGTAGAAGTAAGAGGCAAATGTCTAAAATACAGCATCATGAAAATATTTTCAAAATTGAGACCCTGGGTATTAGAGAGATAGATCGTGACGTTATTACCCCTTTGCCTATGTACTTAAAATGAAAATATGTATTACTTCTAAATATCAATGACAACAATGTGCATGGACACTTTACCACAATTTAAGATAAATTTGGCCATCTGACACAAACTTACATGAATTATATGGTAGGTAGAGTTCTTATCATCAGTGCCAACAAAAAAATTAATTAAAACTTTTTTTCCATATTTAGAACTCAATTGAGCCATAGATTTTTCAGCTGTCCAAGAAGTACCTAAAGCAAAAAAAAGGTAAAAAGCTTTGGTTTCTTTAGAAGCTTTGGTTCATTAATGATACTATAATAGATTTCATATGGAAATTATTTGTTTAAACAAGAGGAGAATCCCCTTACCATATATTTGTTCCCAGTTTTCTGTGGCCACTGGCCACCCATATATATCTGGCAACAGTTTGAGTAGAGGTTGTCCACGTCTACTATCAATGACAGCTTTGAAAGCAATGAAAATGAATTCAATATGAAGTCTATGCACATTTTAGTTCCAATATATATACATTCCTAATACAATCAAAATGAAGAGCACTTACATTCATTTATACAGGATCTGTACAATGTTTTTGCTTTTTGCACTGCTACAATATCTTCAGTTTTGGGTTCCTCGAGGACATCTGAAAAAAGGGATTTTGTAAAATGCATCAATATAATTGTGGTTGAAATTCACATTTTAAACATAGGTTCAGTAAAAAACTTGCTTTTCTCCCTCCTTATTCCAAAACTCCATCAAAAATACCAAATTCCTCACCCGACAGATCAACATTTCTAACACCAAACTAGTTAGCTTCATTACCCAAGTTAGATGAAAATCTTTTTGTCTAGGTTATCTTTGTGTGTGTGTGTGTGTGTGTGTGTGTGTGTGTAGTGATATGTACTGTTCTGCCATAGATAACAATTACTTTTCTTTTTTTTTTTGGTACCAGAGATCGAACTTGGGGTTCCTTCCACTTTCAAGGCAGGCGGCGGAACCACTGAGCTAAATCCCGGGGGCCTACAATTACTTTTCTTTTGAAATTGAGATTGAAAAGAAAATACATAATAATTCAGAGGAACTTAGGATTTAATATGGATAGTATTTTCAATGTGGGAAAATAATGAACTTTGTGTGATTCTGCTGTTCATACTACAAATGAATTAAATGAATTGTTCTACATGATTGGATGTTTAAAAATAGCAAAAATATTTTTTCTACAAAGTAACTTCTAGAATAGAAAAGAACAGAGGACAGAGATAGTAGGGACTAGAGCAGATATTCTCAGCTTCCCAGGGAAAACAAACCAGAGTAATTTGTTTCAGCAATTTTAACACAGGGATAGGGTAGGAAACCTGGGGAGTAGTTTTTAGTAGAAGTCATTTAATGTTTTTCTTCTGAAAATGGCATAAAGATACCAACACTGGGCATGAAAGATCTTTGTCTTGTGTGTACCTACAAATGAAAACACAAATGCTGAGATGCCAACACACCCATTTTAGAGTTTACCACTCTCAGTGAGTCAGTGGTGGTCCACCAATCCTGTAGAAACTATCCATCTTAATCTTCTGCAATGTTCCCTGCAATGGCTAATCAGTTGCATCTTAAAAAATAGATGGGTAAAGAGAGAAATACTTGATGCCCAAACACAATCACCACTAACCTTTCAAAATAACTTCTAGCTCATCTCTTAAAATGTCAAAATTACTGTAACGGGAACTGGTCTCAGGAATGACATTGCGTTTCAGCCAGCCTCCACAGGCATATTTGAAAAAGTCTGCACAAGGCTCAATAGTTGCATCCATGTTCTGGATCAGTCGAGCAGCTGTAAAACCAGAGAAAGCATTAGATAAAACAAAGAGTATATTTCTCAAAGAGTTTACAAGGGGGAAAGGAAGGTACATTGCTTCCTTTTATGATCATGTCTTCTGTACTGATGTTACTTTTTCTTACCTATATAATTGTCAGTTCTGGTGGCATGATGATTATTATCTGTGTTTCATCCTTTTCTCTACTATAGTTGGCTCATTTTATTTTAGGTCTTGGTCCTCTCATTCTAAGTCTCTCGGCCCCACTTCACCCAAATAAGTCTCTAGGACCATATACCCCCAATTAACTGAGCTTCTTGCTAGTAACTACTTCAGAAGAGAAAACAATACATGTCCATTTTGCTTTGGTCATCCTGGGCCTGGGATTAACATAATGACATTCGTCACACTGCTAACTTTTAGTTGTCAATTTTACTCTTCAAGATGCTGTGATTTTTGAAATATTTCTGAGACTCCAAAAGATAAAGGATTGTTAGTGAATTTTTATCATTTTAGTAAGGATCTGAAGTCAGTTATTATGCCTTGGATCTTGTTAATGAAAATTTTTGCAATTCAAATTTACATCCGATTTGCATTTGTTTATATAGAGTTTGTCTTTATAAAATTGGCTGTAAGCTTGTTAGTTTTTCTTAGTCTAGTCTTTTATTTTTGAGAACTATGATGAAAATGCAAATCAACCAACAATGATTATGCATAAGGTGCAAGACACTGACTCTGATAGCTGCTGCATTGATAGAAAGATGTGTAATATTTGAATTATGACTGTTGAAGACCAGAATACAGCCTGATGCCCACAAAGTCTACATTTAAAACAGAAAATCCTGCTACAGTCCTCCTCACTCTCTTTCTCATACAAAGTTGAAATGTTTTGCAGTGGAAACAAAAGAGTAACTGAGAATTCATCTGTGTCAAGAGAGTATAAGTTCTCAAAGGAGCTTTTGAAAGAACTTTACTTTCTAAATCAATCAATTAATTAAAAAACTTCAAACAACTGCTGAGCTGTGCGGGGTTTTTTTTTTTCCCCAACATGGTATACTCGATCTGTTCTCTAGCTGGGATGCAAGCCTTCACTTCTAACCAGCTTTTGGACATACTTGCTTATGAAAACCTCAAGATCCATCTGCTCAATATTAATGTTAAACTTTGAGTTGCCTCTAAACCAGTCCTCTTTCAACTTTTACGCTTTGGTGTACAGCAAAACTGTTACCACAGCTTTCTGGTTTTGAAATCTTGAGTAAAACTCTAAATTTCTCTCTTTCCCTTGGCATATTGATAATTCCTTCATCTCTTTTCTGTAACTTGCCTTTCCATGATCACTGTTAATGGAGTTTACATCTTCATCCTCTTTGATTAAAAGTCACCCAACTACTCATCTTGACAGTACTATCCTCATCCTTTTATATATCCTGTTGTCCCTTCACAGATTAAACTTCCATTTCCCAAAGACCTTTTGCACTGGCCACACACAGATTTGTTCAAAAACATCAGTGGATTGTCATTTCCCCTGTTAAAATACAAACTCTTTAACTTGACCTCAAAACCTTGGCCAGACCAATCACATGTCTCTACCTTTCCTTTTTCCTTCTCTGCATTTTAATTCAAACTTTCTGTTCCCGCCAGGCAGACACACTCCATGCACCTCACACACTCTTGTGCTTTCCCCACGCCTTTGCTTCTGCCCTCCTGACCTCACAGCTTGGACCTCTTCTCCCATTCTTTCCACAGTCTACTCATCACTCAAGGTTCAGCTCCTGCCCATCTCGTCCCTTAACCTTCTAAGTTCTATTTCATCTTTCTGAACTTCTCAAAGCTCAACGCCTCAGTCTTTAAGTCTACTTTGTGTTTTCATTGTGGACACCTGCCCTGTGTACTTAACCATTCTGTTGATGTCATTAATCTTGCTGTATGCCCATCACGTAGCACCCTGGTAATAAGGTGCAATTATGTTTCTGTGCAACTGAATCATCCCTGAGAGGATCCTCTTATTCCTCCTCTTCCACAGCCCCCTCCCCTGCTTCCACAGATCAGATCAGTTCTTGTTTTGCCATCACCAGAGTCCGTCCCATCTGTCCCATTCTCACTGCTTTTTTCTGTCTCAGGCATTGTATCTGTGCTCCTGCACCCACGCTGTGGCCCTAGGCCTCCTCCTACACATCCACCCTGCACTTTATAGCCAGATTAATGTCCACAAAGCATTTCGGTATGTTGTTCCACTCCAAGGGTTTCAATACCTTCCTTCCACATTCATAACAAAATCCTGATTTCATAGCATGCTCTAACCCTGGTGTATTTAACAAAGCTGTCCTCTGCTTTCCCACATGAAGCCATCTATCTCAATTAAATTAGCGTATTCACTTTCTGCTCAGAAATTCCTTCTAGTTTTCCACTCCTGTAACTTTGACTGTTGCTTCAGCCCCTGCTACTGCATCATTTTATGTGTTTTCACCTTTTGAAATTTAAGGTCTTATTTTTTCCCAGGGCTGAGATTGAACCCAAAGTCTCAGCACTGAGCTATATCCCCAGCCTTTTATTTTTTATTTTGAGATTGGGTATCACCACAATGCTAATTTTCTCAGGCTGGTTTTGAACTTGCAGTCCTCCTGCCTTAGCCTCCCAGAGTAATGGAATTACAGGCAAACTTCAGGCATTTTAAAAACTCGAGTTAAACTGTCTTCTTTCAAATTTCTCTTCTCTCAAAATTCCATGTGAGCTTATATTCTATTCATTTTCTGGGTATAAATTCACTATTTTCTCTTCTGGGCTGTGGCTCCATTAAGGTAGGGAACACATTGCTAGTTTTTTCACAGAGCCTAACACTGGCCTTAATCAAGACCTTTCAGGGAAAACTCTAGCACCTCGGGTAAAAATAGGAAACTGGGAGAAAAAAAGTTCCTTGAAAAGTAAAAATGAAGATCCTAAATACACAGAATATTGTCATGTAAAGTATAAAAACCCTAAAAAATTGGAGCCTGAAAAGGTATGCTAACCAAAGATCTTCTAAGAACGCATCTTTAGTAATTTTATACAACTCCTCTCTTTAAAAAATTTAAAATGAATGCTGTAAAGGCTAGTGCCATTTGGGAAGCACTTTATTTTCTTCTCCTCTCTGGGGAAGGGGATAGTTTATGGCACAACACCACAGAGCTCCATAAAGTCCTATCCAGGAGACCAGTGAACAGGTAATGAACAAGAAGGAACATGGAGAGTAATCAGTGCATCTTACTGCCTATGTGGAGATGTCACACGCCCTTTAAACACTGAGTAAAAAGGATGGAGGCGGATGCAGTTCTTTCTCCTAGTACAAAGCCACCATCATGTGAATGCAACTGTACAGCCCATACCCCAGAAGGACAAAGGATTATGTTTCCCCTCTTAGTCAGTTTCCTTCCCTGATCCCCAGTGGAGTCAAAACTCCCTGCATTTGCCCAACATGCCCAAGCAGCAGTATTGGGGCCCTGTGCTGAGCAGCGCTGGGAAGAGCCAACCTTGCTAACTCCTTCTCCTGGCACTCTGTAAGTTCTCTTGGACCACAGAGCTCATCTGAGTATGGTGCTTCCAATCACTTCAAAGAGAGCTCTGTTCTGATGAACATTTTGGGGCCATGGGCCAAGGAAAGTCTCTGGCTAGCACTTTTATGCTAGGTCTTTGATCAACCTCCCTTTAATCTCTTATCGTGGGTTTGATTCTCCTTTTGCACCTTATCCTCCGGACCTCCTCTGTGCTGACTTTTCTTTGAAGTCAGCAACAGGCTTGTAGGTAGAAGGGCCATAGGAAACAGACACACAACTGTCAAACTGGTTGTGATTGTTTTTCTGTTTTGCACTTTGTTTTGAATTACTCAACCTCTCTACACAGTCACACCTGGGTTCTTCAGATGTTTCCTTATCTGTGGGTTACTGACTTCTGTGTAAACAAATGTGGTTTAAAAATCAAACAAAATTATTTACCTTAATAAGTCAACATAAAAAAATAATGTAGTAAGGGCAAATGTATTGACGTGGAATGTTGTTGAGCAGGGTTATAAAGTGAAAGAAAGTATGCTAGCTTTTAAAATGCTATACAGAAGCACAGAAAGTCTAGAGGGATATACTAAGGTATTTACAGCAGTTATATCCAGGTAGAAGAGTATGGAGATGTTTAATTTTGTATATTTGCTTATCTTTATTTTCTAATTTGCATTAGATAAACATACATTGCTTTTGCAATAAAGAAAATGTCTATTTTTAATTTCAGAAAATAGTCACACAGAGACAAGAAAACTAATCTTCTATTAATAATGAGCTTATTTTTTACAAGTAAGAATTCTGAATGTTCCGGGCTGATAATAAATGACATGCCATTTTTTTCTAACTAATCTTCTTGTAACATTGTCCCAACTTATTTGACTATAAGAATTTAAAAGCAAGCTCAGCCACTATCTGGGAAGTTATTAATTACTATATTCATTACTGAGCATATACTGTGTGGATATAAATTAGGAGATGCTATATAAGCTGGGAAAACATTTAGATTCTTCAGACAGACCTGTTTTGAATCCCAGAGTTACTCCACTTTCACAAGGTCAAGTAATTTTATCATGACGAACAGCTAGTAAATGATGGAGGCCCAGAACTTGCACTTGGCTGTGTGTGGCTCTGAGCAGTATGGGGCAGGTGAAAAGCAGAGCCTTTTGCAGCCCTCATGTCTACTCCTTTCCAGTGACCCTTCATTGTTCCCTCACCCTGTCCTCTTCTTCACCTCCTCCTCTGCCACACTGTAACCACAGCTTCCCTAATTCCCTAAAGTCAGCCTTACCACCAGAAGCTCATGCTGGCCAAAGGCACGAGACACCATTATGACTCGGAGTGTCCAGGTGAACTCCTCACAGCGGGCCAAGCCAACAGAGAGTGGCATGGAGTCCACTTGTACATCAAGGAGGGCACCTTCTAGAGGTCAGCCGCAGAAGGGCTCTTGCCTGACCTATTTTTGGAGCTCACTGGATTAAGGAGAGTGAAAA